ATTTTATCTACCGAAATATAAAATATAACTAAAAATGTGTTGTTCTCAATAAACGTGGAATATCATTATGTGTTTGTCTGTATAGAATATATTCGGCATTAGAAATATCTAGCACCAGTGGTCTAGTGGTAGAATAGTACCCTGCCACGGTACAGACCCGGGTTCGATTCCCGCTGGTGCATTAAAACATTTTGCCCTTTTAGTTTTTAGTTTTTTTTACACAAGTCATGACCAAAATCTTTTATCAAAACCAACCAACCAAACTTTTAAGATTTTGAAATTCCACACCCAATCTTTAAAAAGTCTGCTTGCTAACCAACTTTGTAATTTTTATTTCTGGTTTTACGTTCGTAATGGGGTTAACTAAAAAAAAGTAGAAAATTCTATAGCTATAGTAAGGCTTGATCATTTATTGTAAACTTTTTTAATCATTTTATGTAACATTCTTTTCATCATTTATTGTAGATTTTAGTCACAATGATAAAAAAAATAATAAGTTTGTTAGATTATTTAAAAAAACATGATGTTATTATACATTGTTAAAATGGTTAATCTACAAAATCCCCATTGTACTTTTCTCAAATTTTTTGTTAAGAACGAAATTGGTCGATTCCATTAGAGAACTTTCTTTCCTTTGGTACTTTAACATGAATGGTAACTTTTTTTTTTGGGGGGGGGGGGGGGGGGGGGGGGGGGGGGGGGGTGGGGGGGTGGTTAATTGATTAAAAAACCATATGAACACTTTGTAATTGATTTTATGCTCTAGCTTCTTGCTAGTGCCGTTTTCTTTTTTTATATATGGCTGGTTGTTGTTTTTTTTTTTTTTTTAAAATGAAGAGAACAAGATTCAGTTAAGTCCTTAAATGTTTCATTATGCTCGATCATGAATCTTGAAGAGAACAAGTTGATAATAAAATTACATCTCATACTATTTTAGACAGACATTCAATGACCGGAGTAATATACGAATCTATAGAATTTTACCATTAAATGGATTGCAAATAATACTTCAAGTTTAGAAGGATATGAATGAAATTTTCTCAATGGATAAAAGAAAACAAACCTTTAAGAATTCATAGCTAGTAAAAAATAACAAGATCAGTTGAAACTAGCAATCTCAATGATTTAACTCAGGGTTTAGTATAATCTAACACTACATCATCAAAATCAAATTGATCATTCTAGAAGTAAATCTCAGACAATTTACAGATATAATCAATCGGCTACAAGTATAATCTAACAAAATCTGACCAAATAGTCTTCGTTCTTGTTCAATCTAACGAATTTTGCAGTTTAGTTAAGTATAATCTATCTGAATCGTTGCATCCATGTTTGTGTCATTTTGAGGATTTTCAAATGCACAAATGTTTTTAATGTAATAATGTGATATTGAATAATTTTTTAATCAAATACATAATCATAAAAAGAGATTATAGAAGTTAATGTTTGGATGTAGTTGGTTTGAAGTTGTAATACTAATAAGACACTTAACCTTTTGAGCGTGTAATAATTTTGATTTTATTATAGTATAAAATATGACCAATTCATGTAAAATAGTTGTAAAGTTTATCTGGTTAAGTGAGCTTGATAAGAAGAACCACCATGACGAAGATACACGTCATTAAAAACATGAGAAACCACGTGAAGCATGAGGTGTTGGAAGTCTGTGTGTATACAGCCATAGCCTGTGTATTCGCTTGCCCTGTGCTTGCCAGGCTATGCTCCGCTGCTTTTTCAGTCGAATCAAGAATCTGCACTCAAAAGTCAAATCCCACCAAACAAATAGTCAATAGTCAATGGTCAATGGTCAATATACAAATGTGAAAAAAACTTACTCTTTCCGTATTTTGTATGGATTTGTTCATCAAAAGACTTCTCTCTTTGAGCTGTCGTGCCAAATCCACCATTTCATCTGTCAAATCTTCTTGAAGTTTCCTGTGTTTTGTGATATGTGCTTGTGCTGCAGCATCCAATTTAACAGGTGATGATGAACCAGATGATGATTCACAACTATCTTGGCCTCTATGTTCACCAGAAGAAGGCCTGAAATCAACAAGATCCAAAATCATATGAGATAAAACCTAAATTCACTAATTCAGAATGATTGTCATTTCTCTAGTTTCTGCTTACACTAGTCTTCTTCTCAACCCTGGTGAAAGGCTAATACTTTCTTCTTCTTTTTTACTGTTGTTTTCTTTAACACATGTTTTCACTCTCAGCTCATGCGTTTGTACAGTCTCCAGCTGCCAAAAATTGTTATACATATATATGATTATGTAGATTGTATCATCTGGAGTATTTTAAAAACTACATATATATATATATATATATATATATTGTAACATATACAGACATACTTACCACAGGGATAGCCAGCTGGGCTGCAATGGCTTCAATTTTCTCCGAGTAATCATTCACTGTAGCTTTTGAAAGTCTATGGGCACAAGAGGAAAAACCATGACCTTATCAAGCATTTTGTGGAGTTCTTGGACACCATAATAGCAATCCATTCACAAATACACACGCAGAGGTGAATTAAAGAGAAAATTAAAGAAACCATGCCTGGGTAGTCCTTCTGGAGTTTGCTCTGTGGCGAGTTGTTCCAACTGTTCGCGTAAAGTAGCAACATACTGCAAGATAACCATCGAATTAGCTCCACATTCCACAATGTGAGATGTTATCAGTGGCGTTTAAATCTTGATTACAGAGACATTTAATCAAACATATGACAGGCACAATTCTGTGGCAAACAAGATTTACAAATTTACACAAGCAATGAATTACGATCAGCATTTTCCGAATCGACAACTCTCGAGGTTTCTGAAGATGTAAACTGAAAAGTGGATAAGCAAGAAAATATTATCGAAGTTTAGAGGACTTACATGCACAAGTTTCACTTTGTTTTGTTGCTGTGGAGCAGCTGCTAGCAATCTTTTCAGATTAATTTCGGTTTTACTCAATCCCATCCTCAAATCAACCCTACAACAAAACGATTTTTTTTATCGTGTACAGATATAGATACAGCGGAATAAAGGAGGAAATTGTTTATGATCAAAACATAGAATCATCGATATTTACGGTGTGACAGGAAGCAAAGATCAGTGGATCGTATGCATCGTTTTTTGATTCTTGCCCAAATGGTTGCTGGTACTGCCATTAAACGCCGATTGCCGATTTTCACCGATGACTAACCAACCGGAATATATTTCGGTTGTTTCGTTTCATCATGTTTATACTGTCCAGGAATGACCCTTCGCCTATGGATTTTCTGCTCTACACACCTTGAGCTATTGTTCGATGAAAGCCACCTACTTTGAAAGAAAGTCCCTCTGACCCCTTATTTTTGGTTTAGCCGGTGTTAAAATTGACAAGACTTCCCATTAACCTAAGTGTCATCATATATATTTCCTAAAAAAAACATCTAACTTTCTAAAATGATACCTACGTTGTATATTTATATGTGTATAATGTGCTATATTAGAAATGAGAAGTCATTTAAGATAACAATAAGGTATTTTATAGAGTACATATAATGTCATATATGTAAATAGGAAGCTATGTTAGTTTTAACATATGCTAAACCAGAAATTAGGATCATGGTGGTCATAACGAGAACTTTTTAAAAAATGGATATCTTTCGTTAATCGAAAAAAATATAGTTAAACCGCATAAATTGTCAAAATATAATGATTTGAATGTATATTGATCACAATAATATTATGCGTAGTTTAATAGCCAAAAACATCAAAAATACTACCACATAATAACACATAGCATATAATTGAGAATGTAAAAGTACATCCAGTTTTACAGAAAATTAGATGATGGTAAATATATCATATGACTTATATCACTAACAAAAAAGAAATCAAATATGCTTCTATTTTTCTTCCTACATATTTTCCTATTTATTTGAAATGATACAAATATATTAAAATATTACTACATCCGTCTCTTATTTATTGTTCACTTATAACTTTTAAAGTCTTTATTCTTTAACTTTGACCTTAAATATTTTTATTTCTAATATATAATACTTGATGCAAAATATGTGAATGTATTGTGTATTAAATGTATTTTCATTGTTATAAGTTTAATCAAGTAATACATAACACAAATAAAAATATTTAAAGTCAAAGTTGATCGATAAAGACTTTAAAAATAAAAAATAGACAGTAATTATGAGACGGATGAAGTATTAACCTTATCAAAATATGACACATGTCACCATTTCACATGAGTATGATAAAAAGGTAAGAGAGTATTTAATTTCTCCTAACCAAATAGTCCTTGTATAATTAATACAAAAAAAGAAATTAGATAATTTACGTGATGGAGTACTAATATTTATGTATAACCATATTTAATATTTTTTACACTCCTAATGGATTCAAATTACATTGTTTTGCTTGAATTTATCTTTTTTAAGAATTATTTATTTTAATTTATAACTTGGATTTGACAAAATTACAAAACTGTGATCTAAAAAACATTATAGACTAGCAGTATCTGGTGTTGATATAGTGTTTCAAGCCAAATATTGTTTAAAATAATAATACAATTTAGAACTAGATTAGAGAAAATATGTCATCATTCTAAATAACCTAAAAAAATATTAGAGATCAATAAGTCAACCGAAATGTTCCTGACTGTATTTAATAATAAAAAAAACAAAAAAAACACCGATTTTGTTGTCATGATACCATATATATATATATATATATATATATATATATATATATATATATATATATATATATAATATTCTTCTTTCTTCTAGTTCAATCTTAACTTTTGAATGTTAAAACAATTTTAAACATGCGTCCATTTGTAGCTTCATATAACAATATCTTCAATGAACAATGAACATCCATAACATCAGCACACAATAAAGAGTAAAAAATCTTACATTTTATGACTTTTGAGTAATACATGAATTGCTTAGGACATCAGTAGTATTTTCCCAAAGTATAAGGTCCAGAAAAAAAATTGCGTGGGCCGATGGCTGCAAACTTAAGCTATGATAAAATGCCTTCCCCGCAGTAACGTCGAAAATTTGGAGTTCTTAGCAAGATTTAGGGTTTTGGTAACTCGATCTCTCCACCTTTCTCTGTTCTTGAAATCACAACAAGCTTCAAACTGATATCAGAATGGCGGTTGATGGAAATTCGTTCGAAGTCACCCCCGAGACAGAGACATTTCTTTGTGAGCGATTATTGGACCAAACGCAGCCAATTTCGGAGCGGTTTAGAGTTCTATTCTCCCTCCGAAATCTTCGAGGCCCTGCCCCTCGCAATGCTCTGATCCTGGGTTTGTTCTTTTTCTCTGTCTCTGTGTGTGCGATATTTTTCGTAGTTTCTGTTCTTCATACAATAATTGTTTGCTTCGTAGACGATTCCGAACTTTGCTTGGTGTTATAGTGTTACTTGAAACCTAAACACTTGTTGACAATTGGCGAATTTGTAAATAGTATTATGCTTCTAAGTTTTTTTCTCAACAATTGATTGGCAAGAACGTCAGTATTGGTTGTATGATTAGCGTATTCAGAGCCGGTCCAAAAGAAAAGGACCCTCAAAAACACCTATTTTTGCTTGTATTAAAAAAAAGTGGCCTGAAATCTGTTTATATGAATAAGGAGCTATAAAATGAAAATATTTAAACCCTACACACAATGACATCTACATTTGACAAATCAAAGCAGTCTAACCCACTTGTTTCCTGAACCATTTTCCTTGATCAAAATCCATGGTGTTTGATGGGTCTATAACAATTGTTCATAACCCACTTGTATCCTTAACCATTTGCTTGAATTTTACAATCACAAGGTTATGTAGCATCTAAGTCTTCAAAAATAAAGAATTGAAAAAAATATATATATGATTCAACATTCATGCCAAACTCATACACCAAACATAATGACCACTTGGATATTTAATGCTTTACCATTCTGGTCTTTTCTTGGGCTTAATGGCTTCAGTGCTCTTGCCTGTATCAACTTTAAAGTCTTGATATGCATGATCTTTAGCTGATGCACCTGAATTTTGTTTTGCTCAACAGTTTGTTAAGCTGATATGATGGAACCTTAGAGTGTTTATATTACCTCTATTGGCACAACCCTCCTGTTGACAAACACTTGGACGACAATATTTTTTTTATGAACACTATTATTGTTTATTGGAGTTTGGGGTTTATTCTAACTATGATTGATTCAAGAAATTAGTATAAATCCAAATTCAAGAAAAGAAACTCATACCAACCGGTCAAATAGGAATGAATTGTTTTTAGATTGAAGAAAGGCATAAGATTCTCTTTGCAAAAACTTAGTTTTGCCTCCTATGCTTCATGGAAAATAATCATACATAGTTGGCTCATTTTTTATGTATGTATATTTTGAATACTGGTGAATAGTTTTAAGAGATATATATATAATTTTGGTTAATGCAGCAACAAAAGATTCTTCAAACCTATTAGCACATGAGGCTGCCTTTGCTTTGGGTCAAATGCAAGATGCTGATGCTATTCCTGCTTTGAAGCTTGTTCTTAATGATCTTTCTTTGCATCCTATTGTACGCCATGAGGTTGGGTTTCTTTCTTTGATGCATTTGACAACATTTGTACTTATGTTGTTTTGCTAATGTGTTGTGGTGCATAATGAATAGGCTGCAGAAGCTCTTGGTGCCATTGGTTTAGAGAGTAATATTCCTGTTCTGAAAGACAGTTTGGATTCAGATCCAGCACAAGAGGTTAGAGAGACATGTGAGTTGGCTCTTGCTCGAATTCAGGAGCTTAAAAATGTTAGTGACACTGACACCCATCAATCACCATTTCTTTCTGTTGATCCAGCTGCACCTGCTTCTTGCTCTTCTGTACATGATCTAAGGTGCTGTTTCTTTTTTCACTTAATCAATGCTTTTTAGTTACAGATGTTTATAAATCTTGTTTTATTATGTAGGGAAGTGATTTTAGATGAAGAAAAGGGGATGTACGAGAGATATTCAGCTCTTTTTGGACTCCGGAATCATGGAGGTGATGAAGCAGTTGCTGCCATAGTAGAATCTTTGAATGCAAAAAGTGCTTTATTGCGACATGAGGTCCACATTTATCTTCAATCATGATTTTATTTATTTATTTGGGTAGGAAGGATAAAAATATAAATTTTCATGGGATTCCAGGTTGCGTATGTGTTGGGGCAATTGCAAAACAAATATGCTTCAGATGCACTCTCCAGGGTACTTAAGGATGTGAATGAGCATCCTATGGTTAGACATGAAGCTGCTGAGGCCCTTGGCTCTATTGCAGGTTTGCTTACATTTACATATTTGCTAATTTGGGTAACAAACTATTTGTTTTGCCAATTAACATTTTTATGTAAAATTGGTGGTGCTCTAGTGACATTTTTTTCTTTTTTTGGGTGGTTGACAGATGAGGAGTGTATCTCTCTACTTGAGGAATTTTCCAAGGATCCAGAGCCCATTGTTTCACAGAGCTGTGAAGTTGCTTTAAGCATGCTGGATTTTGAACGTTCTGGCAAATCATTTGAGGTAATAATTCTCAACATATATGATCAAACATCTCCAATTTTGCTCATGAAAAGTTGTATCATTTCCAATATTTATTTATTTTTTATTATTATTATTTTGCAGTACCTGTTTATGGAGGCACCTCAATTGCAGGAGGCAGCATAATGAATGGTATTTGACTTGATTGTAGTTTTCTGAGATATCTATCGAGCATTGAGCTATTGTCATGATGGGATGGGATGGGATGTCTTCATTCTTTAAACTTTAAACCAAACAAACACCTGGCCATATCTGTGTGACATATGATATGACTTTATGCAGACAGGTAGGCTTGTCTAGAATATGATAACATGCAATCTCAAACCTTTTTCTTATTTCATTATTACATCTTTTAGCTGTAAACCACATAATACCCAGAAAGAAAACTGAAGGCTATCTTTGTACATATTTATTTGGGAAAATTGCAGAAAATAACTCATCCACTTAGATCAACAGTCAACAAAGTTTAAATTATTTCCGCAATAGCAACCTACTATGTGGTTTGATTGTGATTATTCCAAATTTGATCGTTATTATTCTGCTTCAATTGATTCTTTGAGGTTATGTTTTACTGTTGGTGTTTGCGTTACTGATCCTCCAAGTTACCTTTTGCTATAATTGGTAGAAATTATGAGTACCACCTTGCTTATATCGGTAAAAGCAGCAAACTATGTGGTTTACCCAACGTAACTTTAGTGTACGATTAAGAACATAAAATTTGGGATGAAACAAAAATAAGGAGAAGAAAGCTCTAAAATTCAAGGAAAAAAGGACCATGGCTTTTAATTAATGTTTAATTACTTTTAGTTCATATTTAATTTTTAAAATATTAAATTTTTTTATTTACTTTTAAGAAACCATTGTTTTTTTAGGATCATTTATCTTGAAAAATCATTGTTCTAAAAAATGCATCATGGTAGCAAAAAGGCGTGACTTCGACGTTCCAAAACCCAAAGACCGTATTGTTAGAAGTGGCACACAACAAGGCAAGATAAGGCTTGTGCACGTTATGACACAAGTTCTTCATAAAACATTCTTTTTCTTTTGGTATTAATATAGAAAAGTCTTATTATTTTTGGAAAATTTTTAATAAAGTTCTAAAAAAAAAATTTAACAGAAAAGTCTCGATTATTTAACATTTTACCCAAATTAACGAAAAAATCTTTTTTATATTTGAACAACAAATGACAGATTATGTGATTTTCTCAAAATAATTTAACTTTTCTGTTAAAAAAAACTTTTAGAACTTTATCAATATTTTCCCAAAATAATTAAACTTTTCTGCATAACACTTTTTTCTTTTAAAGTTTTTTTTATCGGACGTGTGAAACTATTATGTTTTTGTAAACTTGTAGCTATTATATATATATATATATATATATATATATATATATATATATATATATATATATATATATATATATATATAAAGTTGTATATTTTTTTGAACGATTAAATGACGCATCCTTAAATCTATACATTTGTCTCAAGCATGACAAAAAACCAATACACATTTCTGACAACTCATGATACCGCTACTAATAATAGACCCATACCGTTTTTGTTAATCTAAGATTATATATTTTATTTTGTATAAATTCAAGTTATATATATATATATATATATATATATATATATATATATATATATATATATATATGGTCATCTTAAGTCGTGCCTTAAAAATATAATATCCTCTCCATTGCTTGTAAGACTTTGATGCTTGGCATTGTCTTTACGATACACCTCATGCCATTTAAACATTGTTAAAAATTAATTTGTTTTTATAAAAGTAGTCATTTTTTAAAAATTCCAAAAAAAACCACTAATGACCTCATATAACAATTGGAGTTACTAATGTGTTATTTTTTTTTATTAAAATTGTTTATATAACTTATTATGTGTTAAACGGAGTTTTATAAAAATGTTTGAACTAGTTTATCCAGTATCAAAACATAATTAGTTGATAGGACATCATTATTTTTATCCAGTATCAAAACATAATTAGTTGATAGGACATCATTATTTATATATTATTGATTTATTTTTTGTTTTACATATTACCATTTTTTATAATTTAGAATAAACTTTATTTTAAAAGAACTTATATGAATAACATTTAAAAAATATTTTTATGTACCTTAAATGTAAATAATTCAAGCTTTTATTTTCTTATATACATGACATAGATTACCAAAATCTGATAATTAATTATATAATGTAAAAAATAAGATAAAATATTTAAAAGAAATAATCAAAAGAAATTCAGTGAAAAAAATAAAGTGAAGTGTTTATAAAGTCCCCTGCAGCAAGTTCATGCATTTTTTTTAAATGCTTTGTTTTCATTTGCAACTTACACACATGCACACGCGTTAATCATTTAATTGTAGAGGATATTAACATATATTAGTTGCAGAAGAATGGTAATATGGATCCAGTTAACAAAAGAAAAAAAAACAGGGTAACCATGTACATTTGTTTTTGGATAAAAGTAAGAGTAAAAAGTTTCATAAGTCCCAAACACCCCCTTAATCATCCATGAACAACCCTCAATGCTTTTAACTTCTTGTTATCCAAACACTAAACAATGCTTATTACCAATAACAACAACAATAAAGCTAATAAACAATTTTAATAAGTCCCAAACACCCCCTTAATCGTCCATGAACAACCCTTAATTTTGAGAGTTCTAAAAGATTATTATTTCCCTTAAGACTTGATATAATAATTTAGGGGTTACAATTTTATTTATTTTAGAATTATCCTTAATTTTGAGAGTTCGATTATCATTTCCTTGAGACTTGATATAATAATTTAGGGGTTACATATTTATTTATTAAAGATTATCCTTAAAATGACAGAAAATGGATGAAGTATGGTCATAAAAGAGTTTTTTTTTGGAACAAATATCATAAAATGATCACTTGTTTTGTAAAATGGATTTTGTGAAATCACATGTTACTCAAAGTGACATCATCTTTTTGTTGAAATTATAAAAGGTATATTCAAACTAATCATTTCTATTATTTCAAGTTTTGTTATAGTTTGTGTTGCAGGTGTTCATGTGCTGAAGTTAAGGGGGCTAAGTGTTAATATTCTTGGGTTTCCGGGTTATATTTTACCGGTGTATATAATGTATGATTATTATTTTTCTCTTAGTTGTTAGATGATATTTTTCTCTGGATTCTCTCGATAGTTCATCAGATTAGGGTTCTTATTTGAGGTTTCATCTTCTTTATTTTCATAATCTGTTTTATACCTGAGTGAATCTTGTTGAGAGTAGAATAGGAACTTTGTAGTGAGGTTTTCTTTGTATCTGTACATGTAAACGTTCTGGTTTGATATATAATCAAACTGATCATGTTGGGAAATTGTGTTTATCATTTTGTCATGGTATCAGAGCATCAGGTGGTTTAGTTGACACGATTCCTTTGATCGATCATCTCTTGTTCGTTGATGGTTCTACTGGTTAGACCAGGTGACGCTTCTGTTTTCTTGTTCCTTGTTTCATTTTGTTTCAACGATCGTAGTTCTTGTGTGGGAAAATTGTAGATCATACTTAGTTGTACAATCTAGGGTTTTCTCTCTCTCTCTCTCTCTCTCTCTCTCTCTCTCTCTCTCTCTCTCTCTCCTCTCTCTCTCGATTGTTGCTTGTTTGACTCCTGTTGTCGATTCGTTTGTGTGAGAATACTTTTGCTCTCACCTTGTTGTCCGATCTTGAGTTTCCTTTCAAGTTTATTTTTGGATTCGACATTTGTTGCCGATCTGGTTTTTTTGTTCAAAAGTAATGCTAATTGTGTTTCACTTTTGCAGATCTGCTGTGGACATCGATCTGGTGCGGTGAAGGTGGAGAAGTACATCTCGTGACCTGAAGAAGGTCCGTCTGGTTCGTTGCAAAAAAAGGGAAAAACCTCGAACAAACTTCTTCCTAAATCTCTGATTTAACTCTATAAGGGTACGGGTTAAGACCGTTAACTCTTACAGGGAAATGAGCATTAAGTTGCTGATCTTTCCTTGGTCTTTGAGGCTAAAAGCCCTGACTGAGCCGTGATTAAAAGCGTTTTCGTTTATCGCTGTGAGATCTTTCCTCTCTGTATCTCTTTAATTGATTTGTGTGATTAAAAGTGGTGTGTCCTTGTCGTTGTTTGCTGGAGATTGTTGACCAACCCTGGGCTCCCAAAAAACGTGGAGTTATCTTGGTTTGTTATCAATCTTCATCTGTTTGTTGTCTTGTGTATTATCTGTTATAATGACTGGCTCTGGAGAATCTGGTAGTAGTAATCCTAAGAGGGACATCGTTGATCTTAATGATCCTCTGTATGTTCATCCTTCTGACAACACTATAACTAGTGTTATTAATTTCAAACTCTTAGGAACTAAAAATTCTAGGCTCTGGCGGAGTTCCATGGCTAGAGCTTTAAAAGCTCGCAACAAATTTGGTTTCACTAATGGAACTGTTCCTAAGCCAACTAATGATCCTGTTAAAGAGTCTAAATGGGAGCGTGCTAATGTTGTTACTTGTTCCTGGATTCTTGGGTCTATCTCAGAAAATATATATGCAAATCATGCATGTTCTGAGAATGCCCAGGAAATCTGGAATGAACTTTTTGAAACTTATCACAAGGCAGATGGATATGTTATCTTTAAATACACCAGAAAATTAATTCTCTAACTCAAGGCAACTTGTCTCTTTCTGATTACTTTAATAAACTTGAGTCATATTGGAAAGAATTTGATGGTTTGACTAACCTAACTAATTGTACCTGTGAGGCATCTGCTAGTTTTAATAATCATTTTAAGCTTATGAAACTAATGCAATTTTTAAGTGGCTTGGATGATTCTTACAACCAAGTTAAAAGTCATATTTTGTTAATGGAGCCTCTTCCTACTGTTAAAACTGCATTTTCTTTAGTTTCTCGTGAAGAGTCAAATCAAAAACATGGTTTCAGTTCTAATTCTTCTAGTAATAATAAAGTTCAGTCTTCTGCTTTTGTGTCCAAATTCTCTGACCAGAAGAAGTTTAAAGGAAAAAATCAAATTCATCAATGCAAAAACTGTGGTCTAAAAGGTCACTCAATTGAAAAGTGTTTCAAAATTATTGGCTATCCTAAAGATTATAAACCTAAATCTGAGTTTAACAATCAAAACAAAACATTTTCTGTAAATTCTTCTTCTGCTCACTCTGAATCTGTCAATTCCAAGGATAATTCTAATAACTCTGATGTTCATTATCTCACTCGTGAACAATATGCTAAGGTTTTGAAGTTCATTAGTGACAAGCAAGGATTGGATGAAGGATCTGTCAATGCTAACATGGCAGGTATTTCATGCAATTCTTTTGTTAGTTCTGAAAGTCAAAATTGGGTTGTTGACTCAGGAGCTAGTCAACATATGATAGCTTCTGAGTCACTACTTCATGATCTTATGGATGTTTCCAAGTTGAATCTTAGAGTTAGTCATCCTAATGGTTCTTCCGCTCAAATTAAT